ACTCAGAGCTTTAAATCGCAAAGATCTGAAGATTGGTAAGTTGACAAGTCTCATGTGCCTGTAATTTCACCAGCACCCTTACCCTTCAAAATCGAAACGCAGTAATGGAAATAAGGATAGCGCGTGCTTGCGAAAAAACCTACACAGTAAGTTCCAATATTGTTACAATTGATTATTAAACTATATACTCGTATAAATTATTATTGTAACTAGCAGTAAGAGAAGCGATTTAATCGGTCGTAACCGATTTAGAATAGGATTGGTTGTATTGTATAGTGCATCATATAAGAGCGATTTTACGTTAGTTGAGCGATAGCGAATAGTGACAATAGCCTTGTTTGTTAGGTCGTCCTATATAAAGAACAAGTCCAAGTTCCATACAGTCCTGTACCGGGTGAAAAAAGTTGACAGTCATCAATCGCAGGTACAGGATTTCATTTGTATTTTCATATAGTTTCTTTATACTGGATTTATATTTTTTTGACTACGGAAAGTTTGATTAATGCAACATTTTCTTTTGAGGTTATGTAATAATATTATGTAAACTTTGATACGTTACTTTGCAGTACAGAATTAAATATTATTCTAAGATAAATGTATGTATTGAGTACATATTAACAGTAAAACTTAGATTTACTACGACAGACAAATGAGATAAAAATTGTCCAATAACGATGTGATTGTTTAAAAAATATTTCAAAAAATTCGTTGTAGCATTTATTTTTAAACGAAGCACAATATAGATTTTGACATTTGATGTGATAGTAGATGAAGTCTCGTTTATACTTTACGTGCTTTCTGACAAAGTTGAAGTTGAGAGCCAAGTTCAAGTTAAGCAAGACTTGCGTATATAAATTCATTGCTTATCGGTGTCACAATTGTTGTAACTTTCGTTCATAATTATCTCAACGTTTAAGAAATCTTGGCAAATGTAAACGAGGCTTCGAATAAAATGTCATGTAAGTCATGTTACATTCAAAAACAAATATTTAGAATGCTTTTATGAATGAAACTTATATTATTTATAACGTATATTTAGATGCATAAAAAAATTTTAACCGGTCGCGACTTTAAAATTGTCTAGTCTAAAATGGGCATGTTTCTTTGTTCAACTCACACTTAGAATATAAATATTTCGAAGTCATTGACAGTATAATATATAATGGACTAGATTGGAATACCTCATAATCATTTATGTGACATGTAACATTGATAATATGTTACATAAAAATAAATTGTATGTTGAAAAAAATAACCGTGGCAGCCTAATGATTGAAAAGCCGTGGTAAACTAATGGTTTGTCCTTAAACTACGTACAATTTCATTCCATACAATATGTATGTATGTAGTATGTCGCGACAATGCATATTGAACCTTAGGCAACAGCGTTTCCATGTATTTAGTTTGGAGAAATTACAGGCACATGGGACGTGTCAACTTATGTCTCAGGGTGATAGGCGTAGTAACAGTGCCCTTTAGACCCTTGCGATTTAAAAGTCTGAGTGGTACTGCATCTGTTATGGACAGGCGTGTCGCTTTCCACCAGGCGTACGACTTGTTCTCCCGTCACTTGGGTAAATTGTGTTTTGGAATGGGTTTTTAGTTGATTCTGGATTTGTACTGATTTAGCTTCTTTGGCAAATTTCGTGTTGGTAATTTTTTTACTTATTTGTGTTATTTGGGACAGCAACTGCTTATTATTACTAGATTACATTGAAATGATATAAAATAGAACAAAGCCTATATAGTTATCCTCTAATCTAATATGTTGAGTGTGTGCGTTATTATTATTATTATTAATCACATACTAGAGCGAGATGTAGTACTCGTATTAATAAATATAATAAGTCAGTGGGTGTAACTGCTTCCGTGGCCAAACGGTTGCCATGCTGGACTGCCACACAGAGGTCCCGCGTTCGATTCCCAGGCGGGGGAAAGGTTTGAATGTTGAATGGCCTATATTTATTTCTCTCGTGAGTTGTGTGAATGTAATTTGTGGTTGTCTATGTGAGTGTCCATGGCACCCACGATACAAGGTTTCGCTAGAGCAGGGCTATAAGTGTGCGCATTGAGTATATAACCAGAAATAGAGACGAAATAAGGGCCATATATTCCTGGTAACACATTAGCGATACAGCTCTTATAAATATCAACTCTCGTTTGCACTGAAATATAGACAGGCCAACTACTGACCTGTGTGTACGTCTCCGTATATTCCAAACAGTATTCTGTATTTATTGTAATAAAGATAATATCTCTAACAATGCCGTGCTGTTCTATTCGGTGGTGTGGGAAAAACAGCAAAACATCTAATTACAAAACAAACGGAATCACATTTCATAGGTAATTAAATATTAAATATGTAATTTTGCAATTTTCGTCCATTATAGCAAAGCTCAAGTTAACTGGTCGATTTGAAGTGAAACAGTTGACGACACCCATCGACGACACCCGTCAATTGTTTCGAACTCGGGCTAGCCAATCGGAGAGCAGTTGTCACAGTAATGATATGGCAGAATAGTTTTCAAACAAATTAAATGACATTTCGTCTCTATTTCTGGTTATATACTCGATGAGTGTGCGTTATTATTATTATGAACGCGTCATTGATATTCTTACTACTTTCCTTCCATATAAACTCAAGTTCGATTCCTAGAGCTACACTGGCACTGCTAAGTCTTTTAAGCGCATTTAGCAAATACGGACGACTAACTTTGAGTGCATATACCGTGGATGTCGGAGATGTTTAGGTAACTCTTCAAAGACGTTTGTAGGCCAAGAACACGTTGGGTCTTATCTCTCTCTTTGGAGCAAATGATAATTTTACTTGTAAATTTGTGCCTCGGAATAACGGGTGCAATGCCACTCAAATGTTTGCAATTAAATTCAAATTCAAAGTATTTATTTTCAGTGAACAGGATCCATTGGTCCGACCTCAAAAGTACGTGGAATCACATCTATTTGCCAAGTTCTATTGAAATCGGGCCGAAAGTGCGCAAATTCGGATTTATCCCCTAGTTCGCCATTATACGGAACTTGACACAGGTGATAATAAAAATCGGTTTTCACTATTCAAAGTATATTGAGAGAGAAAAACGCCTTGAATTGGAGAATAGCAAATCACCCATTAAAATAATTGCTCCTTATAATAAAATTTAGGCGCTATTTATAAAAATGAATCTTCATGCGTGAACAGCCACCCTTAGAGGCGAATGATTTTCTTCAAAATTAATTGGGACTACTATGGAGGTACCTTCTTTCCAACAAAAAAGAATCATGAAAATCGGTTCACAAATAGCGGAGTTATCGCGTAACATACATGCAAAAAAACATACAGTCGAATTGAGAACCTCCTCCTTTTTTTAAGTCGCTTAAAAGTAGAGAAAAATTTTATAAGCTAATATTATATAACATAATATTTAATTAATTAAAATTTAAAATGTCATGTACTTATGAGGCATCTCGTACGGTATCAGTACAGGCGCTCTGTGGTCCTCTGCCACAACCTTCAGGATGCTGTTGTTACTCCCCCGGAGTCTTCTAACCAACAACTTCTACTTTTTTTCCCCAAGACGGCAGGACAGCGATTTGTATGGGCCCAAGCAAACATCCCGGAGGCACTGCAGTAACGGGGGTAGTCTCAACATCATCCTGAACACGTTATTATATTGAACGCACGGAGAATTTAGCAAGCTTTGGGAGCACATAAGCCACAAGTCGCGTGCATACATACCTTATATACTTATGTTTTGAATTTTTTTTTTAATTTAAGCTCTGAGTTGTTGGAGGTTTGTCGCTTATTACCAGGCGCAGGACTAGCTCAAAAAATCTAATGACAATTTCCGCCACGTTCCTCGTTCCGCTCAATCTCAATTCGCACCCGAATTGGCGGTTCTCCAGTTGAACAGCTAATGCATACAAATATAGTAATTGTTTGTTAGCCCGTCGCGTTGGCAAGACTGATGGAATCTTTGAGGTTACATTATGAAGACGTAATGTTCTGCAAACAAACTCTGTTTACGCTGTTGGCAACATTGTTGTAGATGTTAAATTTGGAAGGGTTACTTTTGTATTTTTGATTCGGAATTAGAGTCGGTGGGTTTGAAGTTTACAATGCTATTGTAAATTGGAATGCGGAAGCGGATGTTTACCGTTTCGTGAATATTTTCGGTGCTTTGATAGCTACATCTATAACATACCAAAGTCTCATTGTAAACAAGTTTACTTTATAACCGTTTGTTCCAGACCTCATATATTTTTCTTACATTGCAAACACCGTAACGAACCATATTACGTAACACTTCTTCTCTTCTTATCGTATCAATGGCATACACTATAATGCGTGTCATCGAGGTGAAAGAATTACATCAGCATCAGAATTTAAGGCTCCCCCTGAGCACGTCAACTCTCCCGGTCCAGTGCCGCTCGCATCCAGCCTTTGCCGGTCACCTTTCTCAGGTCGTCCGTCCATCTTGCCTTTTGTCCACCGTCCATCTTGACGTGGTCGCCACTCTAGAAAGACTACATCTACGGCAGATTACTTTTTTCGATTCAGAAGTGGGCGGGTGAAATAGGGAACCACATCACGAACTAAAGTGTAGCCGGGCAGGGCACCTGATACAGAGACAAGATGACAGATGGAGTAAGCCGTTGACTGAGTGGCGTCCAAGGACTAAATACAGGAACGTCGGGCGTCCAGCGGCGAGATGTGCGGACGACATCACAGGAATTGCGGGGCGAACCTGGATGAAATTAAAACGGGACCGTAGGGAGTGGCACAGAAACTTAGGGGCTTATACCCAGCAGTGGATGAAGTCAGGCTACATGATGATGATGAAAAGCAACATTTGTAGCTAACGGTGACGTCAACATCGCGATCCTCCAACCAGCTACTACCCGTTATTAGTGTGTTATGTAGTGTCTATAACATTAATTCATTTACAGAAATTGTTGCTCAGTCAATTAATTGCACGACGACTGTAAGTGCCAATTTGTTTCAGGTGAACGGAATAGTGCTTCACGGCAGATGTCATCTGAACGCTTCGGCGATAATTAAGGGGCTCGTGGGGCCAGTTTTCAAGATCATCTTGTTGAGGTAAGAAATGTATACGGAGTCATTTTTAAAATACATACATAACAACGTAAACAAGAACTGACGTTTACAAAACGTAATAAGTTTACCAAAAAAACTTTTTAGTTTTTGTTGTACTATCTGGCACTTTTTAAATCCGTATTTGGTAGAATAAGTTCAAACGTGCAGACGTCCTCCGCGACGATTTCCACACTCGTCATGTACAGAGTTGTTACCATTTAGAGCAGCGCTCTTCAAAACCGGAACACAGTAATGCTCACATTACTGCTTGGCGGCAGAAATGGGCAGGGTGGCAGTACTTGCAGTGTAAACTCTTTCGCTCTACTACTGCTAAAATAATATTTATTATATTATACAAAAGTGTTAAACTTCTATGGCAAAAACTACCCACGTGTCACAGCACAAAATGTCAAAATAATATCAAGTCGGTTTTTTTTCAACTAAGTATCCACTAATATTAGTAAAGCTTCTTGTGAAAGAGTTCTTCACAAAGAGCTCTACTGCTAGTAAACATTTTACATTAGTGGCAGGGTACTCAACATGTTAAAAGGGGGACCTTGTTGCTTTAAAACGTTGGGTATAGTCCTTGGGTCGCCCATTCGGTCCATTAACTTTGAGAAAATATTTACATCAATTTTCCACTTCATTACCACATCAAGAAATCTTATAAAGGGTTCAATCTTTAAATCTCGATTACTATCAGAACTGCCGTCGCCAAAACTCAAATTTTTTTTGTCGTTCGATCTTAGAAACTTCTCGGGTTCGAATCCAGTATCGCACCTCTGAGTTTCTCGGAATTTATGTGCGAAATTTAATTTGAAAGTTACCATGAGCTTTTCAGTGAAGGAAAGGATCGTGATGAAACTTTTTTTTTCATAACATCAAGTGGCGGGACGAACAATGCTCGGGTAATGCTCACGTTACTGCTTGGCGGCAGAAATAGGTGAGGTGGCAGTACTTCCCTGACGAACTCTTTCACAAGGAGCTCTACTGCTACTAAATGGTGGTGTTTGGTACCGAGATCAAACACCACCTTCTCCTTCTTATGCTTCCTCTCCTGACTTTAGCGGCTGCCGCTCTAAAGAGCCTGGTTTTCAACCAGGAGTGCCGCCTTCTACAAACACTTCCTTTTCCAGCGATTTCGCCTTAGGTGATAAGTTGGAGTAATTTGTACTTATTGTTCCTCATGACTTGGCCAAGTTACGACATTTTCATCATCATCTTCCTGCACTTAATGGAGTTTAGAAGCTCCACTTTTTTACTACGTAGATGGTAAATCCACATCCCTAAAGCCTCCAGCTTCCTTGTTATGTTCAGTGTGAGATTCCAAGTTTCCACGCCATATAGTAGAACTGAGAAGACGTAACAGCGTACAATGCGCAATCTTATTCTGAGACTCAGGTTCCTATCGCACCACCATCCACTGTCAACCCATTTATACGTCGCACTGCTGGGCACGGGTCTCCTCTCAGGCGAGCATAGTTCGCCATGCTGGCCCTGTGCGGGTTGAGGACTTCACACGTTTTCCGAGGGTTGTGAACCTTCTTCTACATGCAGCTTTTAGTAGCCGTAGAGCTTCTTGTGAAAGAGTTCGTCCAGGGAAGTACTGCCACCTTACCTATTTCTGCCGCCAAGCAGTAATATCAGCATTACTGCGTTCCGGTTTTGAAGGCTAAGTAAGGGTGCTGGTGAAATTACAGCACATGGGACTTATCAAGTTATGTCTCTGGGCGACGGGCGCAGTGGCAGTGCCCTTCAGATCTTTGCGATTTAAAACTCTGAGTGGCACTGCAACTGTTATAGACAGGCGTGTAGCTTACCATCAGGCGCACAACTTGTTCGTCCCGCCACTTGATGTTACGATAAAAAAGTTTCATCACGATGCTTTCCTTCACTGAAAAGCTCATGGTAACTTTCAAATTAAATTACGCACATAAATTCCGAGAACCTCAGAGGTGCGATACTGGATTCGAACCCACGGCCTCTGCTTGAGAAGTTTCTAAGATCAACAAAACAAAAAAAAAATGAGTTTTGGCGACAGCAGTTCTGATAGTAACCGAGATTTAAGAGTCGAAATTACCTCAGTTTATTTTGCTTAGTTCGAGTGGCAGGGACGCTGGTTTTATTTAAGAATTTATTTTTTTACAAACGTAATTAAAGCCTTTTGAAAAATGTATATCGTATACTATACGTGTATTTAGTTCAGTTGACATTAAAAAAAAGTCTTTGCTATATGTAAAGTACATATTGAATACTGCGATTTTCTCGTAAAATTTGGACTTAAAAATTTTAGAAATCGTGTTAATCAATTTTTCTATAATTTTTTTCCAAAATGGTTGATTCAACACTTTCACTGTTATGCGGAATTAACCAAAGCCATTTGAGGTTGTAAACAATCGTCGAGTAGATAACCAAAATAGAGACGAAATAAGGGCCATATATTCCTGGTAACACATTAGCGATACAGCTCTTATAAATATCAACTCTCGTTTGCACTGAAATATAGACAGGCCTACTACTGACCTGTGTGTACATCTCCGTATATTCCAAAAAATATTCTGTATTTATTGTAATAAAGATACTATATCTCTAACAATGCCGTGCTGTTCTATTAGGTAGTGTAGGAAAAACAGCAAAACATCTAATTACAAAACAAACGGAATCGCATTTCATCGGTAATTAAATATTAAATATGTAATTTTGCAAGTTTCGTCCATTATCGTCGATTTGAAGTGAAACAGTTGACGACACCCATTGACGACACCCGTCAATTGTTTCGAACTCGGACTAGCCAATCGGAGCGCAGTTGTTACAGTAATGATATGGGAGAATAGTTTTCAAACAAATTAAATGACATTTCGTCTCTATTTCTTGTTATATACTCGATGTAAACAATGGAAGTACATATCTTAAGGCACTTTATAGAGATTCAAATATTCTGATGATATATATTGCTAAATCCTTTGAAATATGCAAACGTACGATAGCAAATAAAAATTGTATTGTGTAATTTCTTACGGGCAAGAGAATTTTAGAGAAAGAATTTTGCTTGGTGTTCCTAAAGACTGTTGTAAGAAGTTGCTAAATTTTACCTCGCCTTTGAACTTACTAGTTAAAAAATTCGGCGTAGGCACGTAAATCTTGCGAAATATTTCGTAAAAATTAACTCTTTCTGTTTACAAAGCCAAATTCCACCTTGCCTGGCAACTTACAAATTAAAAAATGGTATTAGGCAACTTCATTGAAGCTTTGTGATATTTGTGAATGGAATTCATTTTTGTGAGTTAATAAGAAAATAAACTCGTCATTAATATATAAAATAAATTTATTTTCTCGTAATACTTCTATGATGTATGGTATTACTAATTGGTCTGTAATAATTCTTCTTCTGTAAAGGTATATACCAGAGGTTCCCAAACTTTTTTGTTTCGTAGACCACGTGTTACTTTTTTATATTTTCCGTACACCCTACCTTTTTTTATGTGAAGTAGAAGGCAAATGAGCTGAACGACTTGACGGGAGGTAGTCACCGTCGCCCATGGACATCTGCAAAATCAGATGAGCCCTATTGACACGCGTTTTGAAGAATCCCATATCATGCTTTCTAACATTGATTTTTTTACAAATTCATCAATTTCAAATGTGTGTTTGACAGTTGACGCAGTGCTAGTGAGAAACTAAAGTTTCTCTATATAAAATAAATATTTCATATATAGTTTAGATGTCTATTACGACAGTTTTATAATAATATTTATAGAGGTACTTACCTGTGTAATGTAGATTATTCCATTTATTGTAAGTCGAAATTTTGGCCACTTATGTCCCATGACGCACTTATAAACCCATTTATGTCCACTCCTATTTTTTTTTCGCTGACATGAACCCCTTTGAAAGGGTTGTAACCCTAACTAGCCGTGAACAGGTTCACGGCAATGAAATGGGAAACTTTCGGTCCACAAAATTTATTAAAGAAGTAAAGTTTAAAGAAAGGCTGTAACAATATAAAGGTAAATGTAAAAAAACAGGTATAACAGTACAAAGCACTCCCTACACTTTATTATTAAGGCACTTACCCCTAAATGGGCCGAGAAACTGAATTACAGAAATAGATACATAAAGGGTGTAGACTTATAAACTTAACTTAACTTATTACACATGATTAGCTTATTAACAGCTCTGATTTTGTGGCGGTCGAGCTGGGAGTGACCGTGGTAGGAAAACAAAATGAGAAAGTGAAGGAAGATGGAACAATTCAAATTTAAAATTTTAATACAAGTAAAATAAAAAAAATGATAAGATACAAGAGGAGAGAGGCGATACAAAGAGGTGAGATGACGGTGTAAGGAGGTCACACCGTCTCAGGTTGGAGTGGACCTATGGGGGATCGATATAGACCACTTTGAGAATCATTGGTCTAGCCGATTAATTGACCACTACCATTGCTTCCATCGCAATCACAGCTTGTTGCAATGTAGAGTTGCCATTGAAATAACTTTAGATATATAAACATGAAACTATACTAAGAGGATTTAGGTTCAGGAAATAACTCAACAAATAGCACGCTCGAGAAATCTTTAAAGCCGTTCATAGAGCACCTCGGAGGCGAATCGTGTTAAAAATAAAACGCTATTGTTGCAGACGAAAATCCGCCCTGGAAGACGTTGCTGTGAAGCCCCTCACTCAATTCCCAATCGCTTTGGAGGAAGAGGTAAGATCATTTTAAATTTTGCACACTTTATTTTAGTCGCACCTTTGATGTAATAAGGCCACATATACAAAATTACAATTTTTCTGGAGAGAGGTTCAAATATTTAGGTAACGAAATTACTCGATAACTTTTATAAGATTAAATAGAAGAGCTATTGAATTTCACATGTGCTTATTTTGTTTCATACATTTCGTATCGCATTTTATAACTTCCAAGTGATTAAAACACTTTTGAAGTACACATATGGCTTTATTTTACGAAATATATACCAGGTCTACAGATCGAGATACCTCCCTTGAAAGCTACGCCAACTTAATTTTTGAATCTGTTCTATTTTTATTTTGTATTTTGCTTCTTTATTTTTTTTCGAGAAAATTACGTATGGCGCGAGCCGAAGTTATAAAAAAAATCAATTTACTTAATTAATTTATTAAAAGAAATTACAATAAAATTACAATGTAAAAATTATGAACGATAAGTAATCGAAGTTGGATTACGAATGCCGCGATATCCGATGCCCCGGGCCGCCGTTTCTGCCTTTGACGTCAGTGCGGTCACGTTGTCTTCGAGTACGGGGCTGATGCTGCACCCCGTGCAGCGAGCAAGCGCGAAGAGACGATGATGCGCCTCGTGCAATAACTATGTTTACAGGTCGCCGCTTATTCGGCGATTCCCTTACGATCGCCTTGCGTAACAAGAATAATAATAATAATGACAATATTTAGTTAATTTATATGTTAAAACACAGGTTATGTAGAAGCTGACATGTACAAAATGAGTAATCAAGAATCAAAATCAAAATAATCTTTATTTCGTAGGTAAGCATATTACCTTGAAATCGTCACATTGGTTAAACTCTACCGCTCATTCGAAAGGCAGATTCCCCTGAGAACACTGAGCAAGATACTCTAGGGGTTGCTCTTTGTAAATAACATTTGTACGCATTCAACGTTTACAATATATTTTTTGTTTTGCTTTCAAACATCAGAGATCGAGATTACCTCCTTGAGCAAAACGGGTTACTACCACGGATTTTTGTCATCCAAGTACACAGAAGTTGTTTAATAACCTTTAGTTTTTGTTTCACTATAGTTTTAAACTTCGTGAATGGCAAATTTTGTATATTAACCGGAATCTTGTTATGGAAGCGTATACATTACCCCTTAAATGAATTTGTCACTTTGTGAAGACGACTATCAAGAACAGCTGGTTTATTTTTATTCCTCGCATTGATGTTATGTCTGTCACTATTTTTCATAAAGAGATTACTATTCCTCTTAACATAAATTACATTTTCATAGATGTACTGTGACGCTATTGTAAGAATATGAATTTCCTTAAACTTATCTCTCAAAGATACTCTGGGGCTCAGATTATAAATTGCCCTAACCGCACGTTTCTTCAGGACAAAGATTCTATTGATATCGGCGGCATTACCCCAAAGCAAAATGTCGTATGTCATTAGACTTACACATAGTTTCACTGTGTCCGACCAAACAGTAGGTATACAAACATTGAAGGTTTATATAGGTACATTCACTGACATGCACTTCGACAGACTAAACCACGTGTTCGTTTTTCAATAATATTACATGGATTTAATAAGTCGTTCAGAATTTAAACGTGATGATAGTTACAAGGGTCAATTTTAATTAGATGTCTAAATAATATCGTAATAATAATTAGATAATGAATTTATGGATTTATCATTTAAAAATTCGGACGCTGTATAGTACATTGTATTAGCTAATACATTGTTTAATTGTTTTTTAAATAGCATAAGGTTTTACTCGGACCTTAGTGCTTTCGGTAAATTATTGTAAATTTTTGGCGCCATTACAAAAGGACTTTTCTACATGAAGGTAGTTTTACAGGCTTTCAAACGAAGTTGATCATATCGTCTTGGCTTCAGGCCTCGTGTGAATAAGTGTGAGTGCACTCGGACATACATGGCAGTTTCGTAGATATAAAGTGAAGGAACAGTCAGTAGTCGAAGATCTTTAAAATATGGTTTGCAGCTATCTGTTCTCTTCAATCGAAAAATTGCTCTGAGTCTGAGTCATCCTTTTTGTGTCTTAAAAACTGAGTTCACGTTAGTTGCATTGCCCCAGAATATTATACCGTATCTTAATATGGACGCAACATAACTATGGTAGTCTTGAAGAACCGAATCTCTATCTACAACTTTGCTAAATATATATAATGTGTATTAATTTTCCGAATTAATTTTATCAACAATCGGGAAGCATAATATTAGTAAACAAATATGACTGTTTACAACAATAACAGAAAATATCCAAAAAATAATGTTGGTGTAGTGTTCATTGGAGGTGTCGAGATTGCAATAAATGTATTTATTTATTAGAATGCCTCATACATATCAAGCTTTTACTCTTACGATAGCTACACAATATAAATAAAATAATTTTATCTACACACATATCATGTGTGTAGATAAAATTATGTGTTCAAAAACCGCAAATTACGACCTGCGTAAAGATAAACGGTTTTTTAAATTTTTATTGAATTGATATTCAATTATTTTTTGTGAAATTACTCCACTAGATTGATCCGGCCGGACCAAAGGATTTTTTTCTGAGTGTTCTATCTTTATATTATTATAATAAACTGTTTTGTTAGAACAAATTTCTTATCTGTAAAAATGTTATTATTGCTTATCAATAACATCGAATTTTGTTATGACATTAAAATTTTGAACATCTCTGAAAAACTAAACAATTTGATTCGACCTCAATTCTAATATCACTCGAAATTAAGTTTTATGAGAAATGAAATGTCAATGCAAACAATTTTAACAAATTTCACACGTTACTTGATATCGAACGATATGAAAGTTGGGGCCGACTCTAGTTTGTAGAATTAAATAAATACTACGGTTGTGTGACATGCGTGAGAAAAGTTTTTATTTGCCGCCATTTCGCCAGTCGTAACATGCGGTTCCTGAACATATCTATCAATCGAGAGCTGATAATATGTGTATAGATAAAGCGGTGTATGTAACTGTACATATTTAATAATTAAAACACTCGTGTGATGTTTTTGAAACCCGCACTCATTTTTCAATGCGTTTCATTATGTAACAGTCTTATAAACTACTATTTCGGATCTAAAATCGACTATATTTGTGAGTACAGTGTTTTGTTTAAAAAAACAAATATACGCGCTTTATATCCGAAAAAATGGTTCTATTTTCAATGCCCGAAACTATACTTATACATGACGCAACTGGCGATGATACCCCACTTAGTATATTTGTTTTTTACGTTATTTTTACTAATCGACTTCAAAAAAGAAGAAGGTTCTCAATTTGTCTGAATTTTTTTTGTGTACTGTGAGCGATTTCTTTTCGTTTATTGTCCTCTTTTTTAACTTTGAATAAAATATTCCACCCTTAGATAGCAACTTGTGTATATATTATTGTATTTTAATCTATAGCCCATCTGTTTAGGTACTTAAATAAATGTAAACAATCTTGAGATGTCTATTTAATGAAATATACATTTATAAAATGATTTTCCCTGACCTTCAAATACAAAATACAAATACTTAGCTTCATATGAAATTGCATGCCTATTTTTATACCTATTGATTTGTAAATCATGTGTTTCAATAAAAAGATGTATCAAGATTGTTTACATTTAGTTAAGTACCTAAACAGATGGACTACAGAACAATTATTTTTATTTGACGTTGTCGTATTTCGATAATACATAATTTTTATTGTGTATACTTATTAGTGACGATCATATTATCCCTTGACATAAATTGTAATATTGTGACATTGATAATATGAAATAAATAATTCTATTCTATTATTATGGAACTACAAAATGATTTGCATTTTATAGTTCCATTAAACATTGTTATGGTAATTGAACTCCTCCGTCGGCTTCCAGCCAACAAAGATAAAGAGAAGATATCAAGTAAAAGGACAGACAAGTCATACGCCTGGTGTAAAGCGACACGCCTGTCCATAACAGTTGCAATGCCACTCAAAGCTTTAAATCCCAACGATCTGAGAGACACCGCCACCTTGAGACATGTAATTTCACCAGCACCCTTACCCTTCAAAACTGGAACGCAGTAATTCTCACGTTATTGCTTGTCGGCCGAAATAGGTACAGTGCACAATAAGAATTACTGTTAATTAAATACCATAAGCAGTGCTTATACACTATTCCAAAAGACAGTGACTTTATTTTTGAATATGTAATACGACACAACTTTTACCACGCTATGTACCTCAGGTAGCCACGTGGTATATCAATGTTTGTCCTGACGTGTTTACTTTTGATTGTTACAAACACCCAAGGGTTTTTGCGTTACTATCAGCAACTCGTTGCTAGGAAAAAATATAACAATTATCTATAAAATATAAAAACTATCTTCATATCGAGTTTTTAGGTTTTCACGATTGTTACACAGGAAATGAAACTGTATTTTCGAATGTAAGTCGTGTATATTAGTTCTTTTTTTAAACCAACGTTTCGGGATCACGGGTCCGGAATGAAGTTGTAAGAATAAAGTTGTGGACATCGTCCAGAAATGTAGGAAACTGAAGTGGCGGTGGGCTGACCACATCTGTCGCAGAACCAGTAGACGGGTTCTTGAGTGAAGACCACGTCTCGGCAAACATAACGTAAGACGTCCCCCTGCAAGATAGACCGACCATCTGAAGAAGGTCATGGGTAGTGGTTGGATGCGGAAAACGGGTGACCGTGCACTATGGCGTACACTTGGAGACGCTTAAGTCAGGCAATGGACTGCATTAGGTTAATTGATTGATTCGGGACCACAGCCGACTGTATGTATTGAACGGCAGACTAATAGTGAAAAAACAAATATTCGCAAACTAGATCCGAAAAAAACCAGAAAAATGTCTCATTTTCTAGTTACATATTCAGCTAAGCCAATTTTCAAGGTAAGAAAACTAAGGATCCCTAGTACCCAAAGGGTAGGGTCGTTGTCCTCACTTACGT